TGATATACAACTACATTTTAAGGTGAGTATATGAAGAAGAAAATGTCACCTGAAATTATCAATAGCGAAACGTTCCAGCGTATGCTCGCGATTAATTGCAAAATGACGTGTAAATAGTGATACCTGTCGATTGATAGGACAGTCGAGTTCCCAGGAACGTGAAAGCATATCCTGCATGAAAATTCAATGACAATATCAACATTTGCAATGGGTTCAACTATATGTTACCATGATGGACAGGCTATTCTCGCTGTTTTTGACAAAGCTCAATACTTCCAGAAATAATCTCCGCATTTCGTCTTCACGATCAAGTTTTATTTACTTATTAAAGACCTTTCGTGTTGAAAAAGCATATTTCAACTCCTTATCGCATCATACCATAAGTTACCCGACGGGGATATTTCGAAGTGACATAATCAAACACAAAGAATTGTCAAATGTTGGCTGATACATTAACTTTCGATATTGTTGATATTACATCGAATCATAACTGACCATTGCATCCACAGACGGTTTACATATCGTCGGAAGAATATGAACTAGATTAATAGGTATCATGCCTTGACTACCGGTTCTCATATTTTCTCCTTTAACAAATTGATTATTGCGGAGTGACGCTCCACAGTATTCATCATTCAGGAATAACAAATCACCCTTTTTGAAATTCAAGCAAATATTCCACTCCTCATTACCTAAAAATACAGTTAGCATTATAGTCTGATGAGTGATTCAATTTCAAGGTTTATTCAACCTGTGCTGATTCATCGCCATGATGAGTTAACAGAAAAGAGAATCGGACAGATATTAGAATAGAATTCTGCGGATTGGAGAGTACTGCATGGAATTCTGCGCATGGCTCACTGAAGATTAAATTATTAATCAAAATGATTAAACACCTAACCTTCGTTGGAGAAATAATCTTGAAGGGCCAGAAGATATTTTGACCTATTCCTTAATCCATTCAAGAAAAATTCAACAAGTTGCTTGATATCTTTTGTATTGGGCGACTCAAAGCAGTGTTCATCGCCACTGACCATTTCAATTGTAAGTATTTCAGTACCACTTCTATTGTTTCTGAATATTTTAGATTTTGTTCAAGAAGTAAAATTTTTCAACCAACTAAAATTACATTCGATTTATATTGTAACGTTGAATGAGAGAGAAGAAAGTTTAAGAAAGTTTACACCTTACTTGTGAGAGAAAACATTTTTCTACTTACAGGAAGGGTTATGTAGAAATAATTTCAATGGGAACACATGTCGTGATAGATGACGTAAAGGTACAGAACCGTTCCGAAAATGAAATCTAGTAACCCTGAAGATGATCGGATGCTTTCAAAACTATAATTATTTGAGTATAACTGCGGACTGAGTAAGTAAGGAGAAAGAGAAGTAGATGAAGGATATATTGTCTCGATACGAGATGAGCGCAAACCAATTCATTCCCGTTTTTCGCGTCCTCACGTTTTTGCTAATTAAAGATTTTGAAAATTCGATTTCACTTACGTCATAGATAAAATTCGGGAAATTTGTGGATAAGTAAATTGCAGAACAACGTCGTCCTCAGCACCGACTACAACAACTCCTTGCCAATTCACAGCAATCAGCAACTGAACGGATTAAGAGCGAATTTTGAAATTTCTTATATTCAACATTAATTTCAATGGACATTAAATCCAAAAACCATTAATGCTAACTTAGAAAGTTAATGTATGGAAATGCATAAACAGCAGCGTTACCTGACCATCGGGCAAAGAAGGGCTGGCATAAGTAAATGCTTCAAAATATCTAGAAAAAAGGAGCGGCCATTTTTGTTTAGCGAATGTAATCACATCTGCCTTCACTTGCTCCGCTGATGGGTGATTCCGTTGAAATTTCTAGAAAAAAATCCCACTTCCTATTTTAAAGATATATGTCACTATCTCTTACAAATTGAATGTACTCATTGCCAACTCATCCACTAAGTTCGCTTTTAATATTAAATATGAAGCCATCATTACTTATCATTTGGTAGCAAATCAAAGCGATGAAATGACTTATGTTGCATATAGCGGCATTACCATCAGAACGATGTTATGCCAGTTGAACATTATACAAGCAGATGAATACCTTTCTGAAGGCATGAAGTACGAGGTGTAGCCATCGCTCGTGGCTCTTTTCGTCCGCATCCTGAATATCGTCCTCCGGAAGATACATAACCAAGCTGTTTTCCAACTTATCTATATTCATAGCACTATCTTCGTGATAAATGTAATACTGTTGAGCAGCGAGCACTGCCAGTTCTTCCTCCTTATTTGTGAAAAGAGATGTTAATTACAAAGAAATGGATTATGCGACGTCAGATCAAACGGTCCTCAGACCCCGCTCAATCCCTTAATATTTTGGAGCAGATTAGCTGAGTAGATAAGACATTAGCTTTTGTTAAGTAGAATTAAGTTTGCTTCAGAGAGGGTTATTTACTGCGTATCAGTAGCATGCTATTGGTTGACGACAAATGTAGGAAACTGACCTTAGTAGTGCGATACTCGCCGTACTTAACACCTCGGATGATCTGATGATAAATGAGATTGGTGCTTATGGAGTCATTGCTGAAAAATTATTTTCACACATAAGAACATTTTATCACTTTCCTAATCTGGCGATATAATTGAGGAACTGAAAGTGATAAGATGAAAAAGTAGCACGAATTATTACGATTAAATATAAGAATAATATATGCTTGTTGATTTTCTCGAGAAAATTGTTAGATGGCAGAAGAAATTTGCTTATTTCAAGTAATGCCATGAGTGGGAAGAAGAAATATTTGATACATTACTAATAAAAATGCTACCTTGGATCATACCACGGACTAAAAATTTCTTTCCTGTAAAAGAAGCGCCATGATGAATTCACAGCTTCTTTTGCTGCTTCCGTTACGTACTGTTCGCACTGACTTATCGCATCCATAATGTGATACATTCCGCAACCGAGCGAAACTACCTGCGATACATTTTGTCTATTACATGCTTTCAAGATTTTGCTTTGTTGCATAAAATCGCTTCGAAAAATTTTTTTAACTTTGTTATTATCGTCAGTTCCGATCTGCTCTTCTTTTCCTTGCTGAGAGAGTAAAAATGAGACGAAAAACAAATTGACGAAATTACAAAAGGGCAGTTATTCATTAGAAATAAATTGAATTCAGTGGTAATACTAATAATGGTAACGATAAATAATGAAAAAAGTAGAACATAAAGTAATTTTTTAAATTATTTTTAAAATAAAATATATATGCCCAGTAAGTGGGATATTAATCATTTCATCGGATTCAGTAGTGATAAGTAAATTGCTTTTGACACTGATAAGCTATAAAAGATAGAAAGAAGAAAACCAGAATCCTACTTTATCAAAGTATGCGATATAAAGAGAGAATCCAAACGAGTCCTTTAGTGCAATGCTATTGGCAAGTTCGTCACAGACTTCCTTAGATGTTGTTGCCGAGTCCGCGGTTACCGTTATCATAGTGCCATCCATGAATGTAATATGGATTGGTACCGGCTTCTTCGTCTTCGATGCCTAAAATCAGTGTGAATAAGTGAACTGTTTAAAATTGAAGCCAAGGAGAAAATTAAAGACGACTTATCGTTTTTACAGCCTAACAAATAAGTTTTATTTCAATGTGGTATAAATTTAATATAAACTTAATGTATTCTGATAAATTTAATGTATTCTAATTAGTTGGGAAATTTTTTAAGATGAAGAATTTCAAAATGGAAACTTGTAGATTCAAATTAATCCATAGATTTGAAATTGAAATTATTTTAAATAGCAATTAATAGTCATCAACTTATGAATCTGTCCTATGCCAGCTGCATAAAACAATATTGTCCCATCAAAACCGGAGTGTACATATGAAAAGTTAAAAATAACCTGTATCTCTACGGAGTTGGGAGGGTAATTACGTGTTCCGTTTACTAATGTTCGTTTCAATTTGCGTTCTATATATTCCACAAAGCATCCCGTGCGATAAGTTTGGCGTATGAAGCATCGTAAGTAGGGCAAAAAACGATCCGTCGGAGCAAAACAACCCAAACACAACGATAACAATATCCAACCACGAGCGCAAGAATTCCCCGACGGATTTCTCGTCAATTGCTTACATATTTGGCAATATATTTCATCTCTGTAAGATTACTGCTGCATCTTTTTCTTTATCATTGCTTAAGGAAAGGTTTATTTGGGACGAAAGACAGAATTAACTAACAGCCTTCGCATCTTGCTTATTGATTAACTGATTACATGAATATTATTAGCTTAATTCCTTGCTAAACCGGCTCCATTTTTTATTAATTTCAAGAAATTCAGATGTTTGAAGGAATCTATCAAACATTCTTACAAAAACATTAAAAAGGCATTTTGATATTCAAGAATGTTGTCAAAACTTTTATCAGATTCAATTCTTGAGTTTTCAAAGCTTGAATTTCCACCTTATATCTTGCCGTAGAATGCCATGTCCAATAATGAATTGCAATTTCTCTTGGTTAGACGGTGCATCTTCACTCAGAAACATACTGTAATACTGCTGGTAATTATTGTATTCGGTGGCATCTCTCGTTTGCATCCCTCGTTCGTCGGGTGCATCAGTATGTGGTGAGATTGCATTCTGTTGAGGGAAAATCAGCTCCATGCTTGAAAAAAGATGTTTTCTCCAGTTGAATGGCTGGAAAAAAGATGATATGAGTGTTTCCGTAGTTCTATCTCGAAATTCTATCCCACTTCTACCTCACTTTTTCCTTTTCCTCAATAGCACCAAGAAAACACAAACTTTTGCTTGAATAGACTCACGTGAAGCTTACCTGTTCATAATCATTTTCACATTGATTGGTTTTCTTGAATACGTTTCGACCATTTATTATGTGTAGCTTGCTCATCACAGGTGTATACTTGACCTTCAATTATGGGATATATCTAAGACAGCCTCCTTGATGACTTGAAGAGAAGAAAGTGTTTGCTATCCATGTAGTAATAACACCACAGGGATTCCTTTTATAGAGCAAATGTTTGATAGTGTCCATTTGAGTTTTCTCTATACCTTTTGGTAGAATTATAGTGAAGTGGATGAGAAGCGCAATAATTAGTAATATTTGCCTCTGAGCTAATAACGGCCAATGAGGTGGAAAATAGATGAATTCAAATAAAACATAAGTGAGTGAATCAATTTTAGCCTCCTTTCTTCTTACGGCTTCATTTTTAAATGAATTAAACGAGCATACATTTTCAAAATCCTGTGAAGGCTGCGAAGTCTTTTTTGGTTCTGGTACATCTCCCATAAAGCGCTGTATTACCGACCAAATAGCTAACGCCGCCTATAAATTTGAGCATAGCAATTTAAATATTTATATTATGACAATGGACAAGAACATTTTTCCTAAACGGATTAACCAAATTTGATGTTTATATTTGATAACTGAGTAATCAATTCTGGTATTTAAATCTATGAGAGGAGCGAACCAGAATACTGCTCACTTACAGCACGATCTAAGTCGGAATCATGTGGCAGTAGTGCAGTACGAAGTGGCTTTCGGCTGTAATGAGCATTGTTTTCCATTTGAAAATATGCTGCTGCAAATTTTTCAAACTGGAAAGCAATCAAATTGTTATCGTTTGCTGTTCCCGATCTATCATTACTGGTTGTCGACCATTGGCAGGAATATTCTCTAGAATTGTTGGACACAAAATGCATTGCAGCGTGAAAGTTTAAATTCGATGATAAAAAATTTTCCGATTACTTGTGCGACTTTTCATTTAATTTGTTCAGCGCAAAGTTCAAGCTTAGCTATATAATTTTGAATTCGATTTTCTAAACTGGAATGTGCTTTTCATTAATTGAAATGTTACATCTCATTTTGTCGCTGTTTTTCATTTTGAATAATATCACAATGAGCGATGCTATTTGATGATGAATAGCCGAATAAACGTTCTACCTGAAACTAATAAGAATATATCACAAAATTTCATTAGTCTTCAAAAATTTAATAAATATTCCAGATAAAAAGCGACCAGAGCAATATCGTAACCATCCGTGTTTGTAAAAATCGAAGTAATACTGGTCGTACGACTCAGGATATCATCTTCTGATACCATCATTCCAGGGAATTGTTGACCGTGTTCGATTTTGTGCCGAAGCGTATTTCGTATCACTGCACCACGGCAACGAGCCGAAAAATAATTCATTAGATGTTTCTATTTTTTGTATGTTTCAGTTTATAATAGTTAAAAGTATGAAGGTGACATAATTTGCTAATAGAATTAGCAAAGTAATACTGTAAGAACGTTTATAAAGGCCTCACAACTTTCGTGCTTATTTGATAATTTTGCAAAAAAATAGGATTGCACATATCGCAAAATTCATTAAAAAGAAACTCACGACTAAAATATCAAACTAAGTCGGATTTTTTTTACTCCCCTCGATAAATGATATATAGAAGAAACCTGAAACTGTGTTATGATAGCTCGAAACAGCTTGTGATGTAAGACAATTTGCCGAGAACGAAGGATAGCTTGAAGTCTTGAAAATCCGATTTGTATCTGAAATTTCTCTTAGTTTATTTCTATTCTCAATTAACTCATTGACAGATATTCATAACACATAGTTCTAAACCCCTCAAATTGCGCTTAACCTCTAATCATGTGACAGGTTTGAAGTAAGGTGATTGAATACTAAAAACTTCTTAAGCTAAAAAAATTGTGAACTGGAAATTTGCTTCCTACTGATATAATTATTTTGACTTGAAATTTAAGGCATCTGTAGTGCTTAAGTTAAGGATAGAAGAAAGAAAGCTCAAAATAAGTCACTTATCAAGAATTAATTCATTTAAATTAATAAAGTAATTAGCTTTCGAAGTATTTCGAGGGAAATTTTGGCATCTTAGCTTATATAGATAAGATATAGCTATTGCACTCCTGATGTGTTTTTATTAGGCCACAAATTAAGAATTAAGAAATATATTGTGATTGGAAAACAGCTGGTAGAACCTTGCTATCTTACTGCCTTATTTTTCCTTCTGCTAATGTTCCGAGACTACCATTCGAATCTTTATTTTCTTTTCTTCATTATTATTCCTTATCATTCCAGTATTAGAAAAATTAACCAATCTTTTAACCTATCCTATCATTCTTATCTCCTATTAATACATA